GCATCGATTTTCCCAGAGGAAACAGAAGCCAACCCAAGGGCCCTCCTCCTCTTCCTGCCACAAGACTCACACCCCACCCGAAACCTCACCCGCCCTTTCCTTCTTCCTTCCTGGAACAATGAAAGAGGCGTCTTTCCTCCTTTCTGGAGCTAATCCCACCACTCTGGCGGTTGCACCATCTGCCCCTTTGTTCTTGAGCATCTCGCTCCCTTTGGTTGTTAAGAGCTCTCCACCTGGGTTCAAATCATGGCGCCACCACTCAGTGTTGTGTAAACTTGGGTGGCAGACTCCTCTTCCTTGTCTGTACAGTGAAGATAATAAGAGCGTCTTTCTCATGAAACCGTGGGAAGGTTCGGTGAGTTAATTTATGAAAAATGTGCTAAAACAGTGTTGGACACACAAATCAGTGTATACATGGAATTGACCCTCAAATCAGCTTGGAAGACAATAGAAAATTCAAGTAGTGGAGCTGAGATTCCTATGGTCCTGGAGTTTGTACTCTTCTACTGAACCAGCTGGGTGACCTTGGACAAGCCACTTTCTCTCAGCCTCAGTTTCTCAGTCTACAAAATGGGGACAAGGTAATACCAATCCCACTGGATCCACACTTTCCATGACTCATTCTGTTCCAGCCATGCTGGCCTCCTCACTGGTCCCCAGACACACCTCAGGACCTTTGTACTCGCTGCTTCTTCTGTCTAGAAGTCTTCTCCCAGGGATCCCTGACTACCTTCAGGTCTTTGCCTGAAGGTCACCTCTATTGGGTCTTCCCTGACCCTACTCCACTTCTTCCCTGACCCTACTTTCTTCTTATTTTTCATAGCACTCATAAATTGTAACATTACATGTTATACTTAACTTTCTCTTGATTGCCCTCTCTTCTGGAATATAAGCTTCAGCGGGGCAGGGATTTTTTTGTCTCTTTTGTTCATGGCCATATCCTCAGTGCTTAGAACCGTGACTCATGCATAGTGAGCGCTCTGTGTTGCTGAATGGAAGGAGGGAGAGGGGAAAGAAGGGAGGGAGGAAAGAAGCTAATGCACATGATGAACTTCCTTGGCCAAAGTGTGCAATGGAAGATGATTTTACCTTAAGAAGGAAGGAATTCTGACACATGCAACAACATGAACTTTGAGGACATTAAGCTCAGAGAAATAAGCCAATCGCCAAGTGATTCCACCTCTGTGGGGTACCTACAGAGGTCAAACCCCACAGAGGCCAAAAGCAGTTGGAGGTTGGGGGGGGCATGGATGAAAGGACGCAGAGATAGTGTTGGACAAGGTCAGAGAGTTCAGGCTGGGGAACGTGGAAACATTTCGGAGACAGGTGGCAGCGATGGTTGTACAACCATGCAAATGTACTCCAGGCCACTGAACTGTCCACTTCCAAATGATTTAAATGGTGAATTTTATGTTCTGTGTGTTTTACTACAATAAGAAAGCAAATCAATTTTTTACTTTTTATTTCTTTTATAGATTGATTTATTTGCGAGAGCGAAAGAGAACAGGGGGAGAGGCAGAGAGGGAGAGACTCTCCACTGAGCATGGAGCCTGTTCTAGGGCTCCTTCCAGGACCCTGAGATCATGACCTGAGCCGAAATCAAGAGCCAGCTGCTTAACCAACTGAGCCACCCAGGCGCCCCTCAATGCTATAATTAATTTTTATTTTTAAAGATTTTGTTTTTAATTAATCTCTACACCCAACGTAGGGCTCAAATTCACCATCCTGAGATCAAGAATCAAATGTCCCACTGACTGAGCCAGCCAGGCATCCTGTAGATCAATTTTTTTTAAGTTTTGAACATTAAGGCACAAAAATAAAATAAAAAATTACAGCACGATGGCTGGCTGTGCCAAGCCCTCAGTAAATGGGAGCAGTTTTGTCCTTCCTTCCATCCTCACCAACCTTCACTGCCCACACACCTGTCTCTGCCGCCACATATTTAGGGCTGCCTTTACCCACCAGCTCCTCCCCCGTCTCCCCCCTCCCCGGCTTCCAGTCCCACCAGCCACCAAAACCTCCTAATCTCCCCTCTGTCCTTCTTCCCAGTGGCTGCCCAGCTGTGTCCCACCCTCGAATCTCTTCCTCCCTAAAAAGTTATCTCAACATCCCCAACACCACCCTTTCCTGGCCTTCCTTCTAGCTCTCCCCTTGCTCCTTCTCCCCCTAAACTGGGGGTCCTCCTTAGGGTCCCGGGCAGACTTCCCTGGTCCTCTCACTAATGCAGCCTCTTCTCACAGGCTCCCGGGGCTCTGGCTCCCAGCACCACTTGTGCTAATAACACCCCACCATTGTCTCTAACCTCCTAAGTCTCCTAAGCTCCAGACCTAGGTCTCCATGGAGGACCCTAAGGGCCCTGGGAGCTCACCCTTGGGCTTCTGCTTCTTGGGGCCACCTTTCTTTCCAGCCCTCTGAGCTCTATCACCATCCTCCTGCCTGAAGGTCTCTACTCAGAGCCCCTCAACTCCTTCCCCACCACCACCACCACCACCACCACCACCACCCGCCACCCTGTACATTCCCTCCATCCCCCTGGCAAACTCCTACTCATCCACAACAGGCCCCAGCTTAGACAGCCTGCCCTTTGGGAACCCTTTTCTCCACTCCTGGGGTTCCATCAGGCCCTCCCACATTGCCTGTCATTGGGCACATAACCCCAGACCCAGTTTCCTATTGGCCTACTGCCCTTTCCTACCAGTCCATGAGTACCTTGAAGGTGAGGACTCTGACCATCTGTTCATTCGTTTGTTCATTCATTAAATTTTTCTTGCACCCCCATGTCATTGAAAACAAGACTGGTAAGCTGGTGGGTGGAGTGGTGAGGAGGTGACACAGGTTTTAGATGTTGGCAGGAGAGAACAGAGTTAACATGGCTGGAGCATGCAGGGGCCTGGAGTTGGGCTGGGGAGTGAGAAGGCAGTGAAGGGCCATGGCCAGCCTTTCACTTGGGGCTCCCTGGGGTTCACTGAAACATTCTGCTTAAGCAGAGCATTTTCTTTTAGGGCGAGGGAGGCCACATGTTTTCCAAAGTCTCACAGCTCAGTGGAGGGTCCCCATGAGTCCATCAAATCAAGGTTTATGCTCAGATGGAAGGGGTGGGCTTGCACTTACCAGGAAATTCTGTTTTGTTGCTCTTTATCTTGAGATTCTTATGAAAAAAAAAAAAAAGGGAAATAACTTAAGGTCTCCAAGAAGTTGCTCTGATAGTAGCAGTCCTTGTGGGCTGATTCCCTCAGCTTCCTCTGATGGTGATGTCCTTGGAGATAAATAACTGCAGGCCTGACTGTAGCCATATCGGCTCCAGGAAAATCCACGAGGGCCAGTAGCCTAGTTCTGTGTTGGCTGTCCATATGTGCATCTGTTTGCCCGTGTGCATATGTGCATGTGTGTGCATGAGTGTTTCTATGTAGTGTTACCTCCTGTATAGATCCGTGTCACCAAAAGGGCCCCAGATGCAGAGCAGCCCCCTCCCCATCACCTTGTGCCCTGATGAGGTGGGGGGAGTCTTTACTCCAGTTCAGCTTCCCACCCCTCTAGTTTGCCAGGGCCCCTCAGAGCTGGGTCACAGGAAACAGAAGTGCACACAGGGAGATGGGTATGTGGATTCAGGTGCACAGAGTCAGTCCCCAGATACAGAGACAGGGCTAAGTGGCAGCCCAGGCAGAGAGGGAGGAAAGTAGTTTGGGAGTCAGCCTGAGTCGGGGGTGGGGGAAGGCGTTGGGATGTTGGGAGAGGGAGAAGATGCAGAGACTGCATCCTGGGTCACTGTGCCCTGCTCAGGCCCAGGGACAAATTGCAATCCTTAGGGAATTTGAGAGGCTGGGGAGGTGCTGAGGGCAGGGGACCCTGCCCCTAAGTTAGGAAGGGTCCCTTGAGCCCCTCCCCACCTCGACACTGTCTCTCTCCCTCCCTCTGGGTCTCCATCTCTGTCTCTGTCTCCCACTCTGTCCCCACCCCTCTGCAGAGCCCAGGCTGGGGGCCCCAGTTCTGCACTCCCCCTCCCCTTTCCTGCTGGGGCCCCTGCTCCCCAAATTTTCAGGACTGTGAGAACCACAAAGTGAGAGAGCCTGGGGGACCAGACAGTCCCAGGTGCTACTGCCCCTCCTGTCTCCTGCCGGTTCCCAGCCCCACCCCCTCACTGTGGTCACCTTCCACCTCAGCCTCCAGGGCTATATGTGTCCCTATCACCTGGTTACCTGTCTCCCGACTCCCGTCCTCTGCCTTGCCCCGCATCTTCCTCCTCCTCCCCTCCCTCTGTGCCATCCTGTCTCCCCACCCTTCCTCCCCTCCTCCCATCCTCTTGCGGTTAGTCTGTGTGTGGTGGGGGCCTGGGCATGTGTGTGTGTGGGTGGGGGGGACTAGGCATGTGTGTAATCTGCCTTCCTTCTCTCCACCTTCCTTTTTCTCTTCCTTTGTGTCTATTTCTATTCTGTCTTCAGCCTCTTGCCTCTGCTTTTCCATATCTTTTTCGGCTTTCCCACTCTCCCCGCTCCATGAATCTCTTGTATCTGGGCCTCCCCTGTTCCCTTGTCTTCCCACCCCCCGACCATGTTCACATTCCCTTTCCTTCTCCTTCACCATCTTTGCCTAGTCTCTGTCCCTCTGACACCTGTCTCTCTGGCCTGTGTTTCTCTGACCCTTCTCCGGCTCTTCACCTTCGTTTGTCACTTCTCTTACATTTCCCAGCCTTTTCTGTGTCTCTGTCTCCCACTCCCAACCCCTCCCAGCAGCTTCCCTGGAGCCCTCCCATCTTGTCCACCCTGCCCTGGGGTCCCCCCTCCCTGGGTTCCTCCCAGAATAAACACCTTCACTGGGCCGGTTCTCATTAATGTTGTGGCTGCTTCTCTGGCCAGAGAGGGGAGGGAGGAGATGGGACCAGGGAGTCCTGGAATGGAAACTGGCCAATTAAAAAAAAAAATGTCAGGAGAAGGGCGGGGGACAGGGCCAGCTGCACAGACCAGGATAAAAGGCCTCCACGGAGTGACAGGGAGGCAAGACACCACCCCCACTTCCTCCACACACAGAGGCACATCCATGGCTCTAAGTGTCTGGGTCTCTGTCTAAGACCCTCTCTGTCCCTGTTCCTCAAACTCTGGGTCTCTCGTAGCCTACTTCTCTCTCACTTTCCCTCTGCATTTGCCAGAACCTGACCCCCATCCCCAGAATGTTCCTCCTGCTGACAGCACTCCAGATCATAGCTCTAGGTAAGAAAGCAGTGGGGTCTGGGGTGGGGGCAGTCCCCCTGGAAATGCTGAGAAGAAACCTTGAGGGTTCCCAGGGACCCAGTGTGCTCATGGGTAAGCTGGTGAGAAGGTGTGGAGGGCGGTTTTGGGGGTCATGACTGAGGAGCAAGCAGGAGGGGGACTAGGTTCTTAGTCATGAAGATATCAGGAAGTAATAGGGTACAGGAGTCGAAGATGATGGAGAGGAATAAATGAGGCATTATGGAGAATTGTCCATTCCAGTGTGGGTTTTATTTAAAAGGAGGGCTGCAGAACTAAAGGAAAGACAGCATGTTGTTGGCAGTAATGGGGGTGGGTGGTGAGGGTAGGGGGATGGGCTCACAAGGAGGGGTGTGACATGGCAGATGGAGTGAGTGTGGGGTGAGATGGTAGATTCTGGGGGTCATACACAGGGGAAGATTGCAAAAAGGACAAGGAGCTCCTTGAATGTGTTGGAGAAGGATTAATGGGGGCGGGGGGAATTGCGGTGTACTGTAAAAAGTGATGATAGAGAGTATTTGTGGTAGAGTCAAAGGTAGTAGATATGTCAGAGCCCTGGATGAGGTGGCTGTGGGATCAAGTGTTATACTATGGAGGCGATGGGGAGTCATGTATCAGAAAACTCTCGATTGTGTTAGCACAATAATGAGGGCGACATTGGGCATATTTCAAACTGGGTGGGGCAGATAGAGGTGGGTGGTTTAGGGGTTAGGTAAAGAAAGGGGATTTGTGGGTCCCAGACATCCTAGAGAGTTGGGGAGTCAGAGCATTTGTTCATCTGCTTTCCACCTACCCCATCTCTACCTGTTCCAGCCATGGCACAGAGCCAAGGGGATGAGAACAAGATACTTGGTGGTTATACATGCATCCAGAACTCCCAGCCATGGCAGGCAGCCCTGCTGGCAGGTCCCTTTCGTCGTTTCCTCTGTGGAGGGGCCCTGCTGTCACGCCAGTGGGCCATCACCGCTGCTCACTGTGCACGCCCGTGAGTAACCTCCTCCCCTATTCTTGTCCAAGTGAATTCCAGAGTCTAGAGCCCCAGACCTCAGCTAAGAACCTGGAGCATTGTGTTGAACCTAATGTAGTAGCTGGGTTCTGGTTTGGGGTCTAGATAAGAGCCTCAAATTACCAACACAGCCCAGAATATGGAATCCAGCCACAAATCATGAACTCAGTTTAGACTCTTTTCGTTTCTTTTTTTAAGATCTTATTTATTTATTTATTTATTTATTTATTTATTTATTTATTTATTTATTTAGAGAGTGCATGGGGAGAGGGGCAGAGGGAGACACAGAATCTCCAGCAGACTCCATGCTGAGTGCAGAGCCCAACTCGGGGCTTCATCCCACGACCCTGAGATCATGACCCTGAGATTATGACCCCAGCTGAAATCAAGAATCCGATGCTCAACCGACTGAGCCACCCAGGCACCCCTCAATTTAGATTCTGAAAATAGGGGTGCCTGGGTGGCTCAGTCAGTTGTGGCTGCCTTCTGCTCAGGTCATGATCCCGGGGTCCTAGGATTGAGCTCCACATCGGGCTCCCTGCTCAGTGGAGAGCCTGCTTCTCTCTCTCCCTCTGCCCCTCTTCCTACTCATGCACTCTCTCTCTCTCTCTAATAAATAAATACAATCTTAAAAAAAATATTCTGAAAGCAGATTGAACCCATATGCCAGTTTAGAGTCCCATACAAAACCTAGAACCTGACATAATCTGGAAATACGTCTAGAGGCCAAGCTGTATATAGAGACTAAGATTAGGAATCCATTCCAGATTGATGGTTCAGTTTAGGGCACAGGCTACACATTCAGAAACTCGGGATCTCTCTCAAAACTTAGAATTCAAAGTCTAGTCCAGACCTGCAGTCCAGCCATAAATCCAGAACCCTGCTTACAGCTATAACATACAGCTCAGAATGTAAGATAGAACCAGAACCCATTCTAGTTGCAATGTTTATTTTTTTTTTTATGATAGTCACACAGGGAGAGAGAGAGAGAGAGAGAGAGAGGCAGAGACATAGGCATAGGCAGAGGGAGAAGCAGGCTCCATGCACTGGGAGCTCGACGTGGGATTCGATCCCGGGTCTCCAGGATCGCGCCCTGGGCCAAAGGCAGGCGCCAAACCGCTGCGCCACCCAGGGATCCCTAGTTGCAATGTTTAATTCAGAGTCTAGTCAATAGCTCCTTTTTGAGCAGCCAGGAACCCCAAGTTCAATCCAGTGTCTAAATCCCAGAATGCAGACCATAATCTGAAGCCCCATACAGAATTCAGAGCCTCTCAAAGAGTCTAAACTTAGAAACCATATCCCAGACAGGAGCCCACCCAGTACCTATAAAGCAAATCTAATGCCATAAACTAAAGTTTGATGTAGAACCTAGAGCTCAGAACTCAGCCCAGAGTCTAGAATGCAAAGTTCAGAATGCAAGCCAACATCTAGAAACTTGGATCCAAACCATAACCTGGAGCTCCATCTAGAACCCAGAGCTCAACCTGAGGCAGGTTCTTTAGACAAGAGTCTAGAAGCAAGAGCCCAGACCATAACTGTAATCAATCCGAAACAGAGCCCAGCCAAGAATCAAGAACGTTTAGGACCCTAAGCTCAAATACAGAGTTCATACCATTGTCTAAAACCAGATCATAAACCAGAATTTAAGCAAGAATCCAGAACTCAAATCCATATCCAGAATCCATTGTTCTATAGAGAATTGAGCCTGCCCTAAGATTAAAGCTCAAAGCAACATCTAGAATCCAGACTCAAACTATAATGCAGAACTCAAAATAGAACCTGCAGCCTATCCTAACACCAAGAGCTCACACTCATATCTAGAAAGTATGCCATGATCCAGACTCAATCTACAGAGCCCAGATCCTAGTTTAGACTCAAAAGTTCAAAATATCTAGAATCCAGGGCCCAGGCTGGAACCAGGACAGAGCCTCCCTGGAGCCTACTCCATGATAACAATTCTGATGTAGAGCCTAAAGCCACAGCCTAGAGTCTCAGTTGGAACTCCGAGCCTAGAACCCAGGACTGAGCCAAGAACTCTCAACCATCAACTTACATCCAAGCCAGAAACCAGAGCAAAGCTCAAGAGAGGAAGGGGCAGATGGTGGGATTGGCCTAAGAGGGAATGCCCAGGCCATGGGAAAGAGCACAAGAGTCCATCAAACACTCCACAAGCAGTTCAGACTTTTGGAAAATTCATCACCAGGGAAGGGAATCAGGCCAGAGGGTGGGGAGTGGTCTCCAGGTCAGATCCTGAGCATTCCTACTTTTGGGGGACATGGACCAGGATCCTTCGCATAGCCCTGGGCAAGCACAACCTGAAGAACTGGGAGGCCACCCAGCAGGTGCTGCGTGTAGTTCGCCAGGTGCCACACCCCCAGTACAACTCCCAGACCCACAATAACGACCTGATGCTGCTGCAGTTGGAGCGGCCCATTCAGCTGGGGAGGGCAGTGAGGCCCATCACCATAGCCAGTTCCTGTGCCCGCCCAGGAACTCCCTGCCTCGTGTCGGGCTGGGGTACCACATCTAGCCCCATCGGTGAGTACTCCCGCATCCTGGAAAGGAAGGGCTGGGGGCCTGGACTCCTGGGTCTGAGGGAGGAGGAGGTGGATCCCCAGACTCTTGGTCCTACTGGAAGGTAGATCCCACTTGTAACCCTTCCCCCAGTCAGGTACCCTAACTCCCTGCAATGCGTGAACATCAATATCTCCTCGGATCAGGAGTGTCGGCAGGCTTATTCCCAAGCCATCACCGTTGGCATGGTCTGTGCAGGTGTTCCCCAAGGTGGGAAGGACTCTTGTCAGGTGAGGTCCAAGGGGATTGTCTGGAGCTGGGACTTGGGTATCAAACGATCTGGGGAGCATGAAAATCAGCAGAGGCCTCCCCCAGAAATAGAGAGATTGGAATAGCTGGGCTGCCTCCCAGCTGTACACCCTTGGATAATAGATCTACTCCCTCTTTGCCTCAGTTTACTCATCTGTAAAATGGACATAGCACCTCTTAGGGCAAGTGGTGGAATTAGATGGTATCCCACAGAAAGAGTACAGAGCCATGCCAGCACTTACCACTGCCCTCATTGCTGTTATTACATATGAGCACCAGGAGGGCAGCCCTGGTGGCGCAGTGGTTTAGCGCAGCCTGCAGCCCACGGTGTGATCCTGGAGACCCGGGATCGAGTCCCACATCGGGCTCCCTGCATGGAGCCTGCTTCTCCTTCTGCCTGTGTCTCCCTCTCTCTCTCTGTGTGTCTCTCATGAATAAATAAATAAAATATTTTAAAAAATGAGCACCAGGAAATCCGTGCTCAGGGACTCTAGAGAACTTAGTCCATCCCTGAGAGGTGACTCTAGAGATGGGGAGATATAAAGAGGCACATGCAGTTTTCTAGAGCAGTGCAGTGAGCCCCAGGGGTCAGTCCAGGGCAGAGTTAGCAGGCATCAGTGAAGAGGGAAAGCAGTGACCCCAACTCTTTGGACAGATATCTCCAGAGCCTTTCAGCCCACCTCCTTCCCCATCCCTGTCTCTTGGATTTTCCATACCCATGGCTCTGAACATCTGTCCATGAGTGTCTCCATCTTGGCCTCTCCCTTTCAGGGTGACTCGGGGGGACCCCTAGTGTGCAAAGGACAGCTCCAAGGCCTCGTGTCCTGGGGGATGGAGCATTGTGCCCTGCCCGGCTACCCTGGAGTCTACACCAACCTGTGCAAGTACCGAACCTGGATCCAGAACACCATATGGAACAAATGATTGCTGCTGTAACTGAACATCAGCTGCCCACTTGCTTCACCAGACCCTGCTCTCTCTCCACTCAAGACCCAGGGTCATGGGCCCCCAGCCCTTTCCTCCCTCAGACCCAAGAGCCTTCACCCTCAGCCCTCTATTCCCTCAGACCCTGGAGTCCAGACCCCAAACCCCTCCTCCCTCAGACCCAGGAGTCCAGATCTCCAGCTTCTCCTCCCTCAGACCCAGGAATCCAGACCTCCAGCTTCTCCTCCCTCAGACCCATGAGTCCAGGACCCCGGCCTCTTGATCCGGACCCCTGGCCCAGGAATCTCCTTTTCCAGAGAAGTCCTTCATGGTTCCTCTCCCTACTCCCACAGCATCATTATTCAAGGCCCCTTAGATATGGAAACAGGAGTGTGAAAGCACAAAACTGGCACCATCCCCCAGGGAAGACATTTTTCAAAACTCTTACTGTCTCAAAACACCAGATAAATAATAAGAAAAAAATGGAATAATCCTAAATTCCATTCACTTGTTCATTTAATTCATCCAATGACTATGCCTACAGTGGCTTCATTGTATCCAGCCAGGAACCACGTTCCTGACAAGTGGCTGGATCGTGTGTGCTGCTCCCTGGAGGCACCCCCCATCCACCATACCTGGTGTGGTAGAAGGAAATGCCCAGCCTTGCAGCATGACCCTGAGCAAGATTGCCCTCCCTGAGCCACTGCTCCGGGTCCTGTGAGCAGGGATGGCTGAAGTTCAGAGCAGGGAGGGCAAAGACTCACCTTGTTTCTTGGAAAACCGTATGCAAATAAAAAGGTCCTCTTTTTCCTAATCAGATCTCAGGTGAGGAGAGTTGAATTAATCACGCTCTGGAGTTCAAGTCCTGGCAGAGACCTGCTCTCATTTTATTTCTTGATTCCATCTGTCATCCCTGGCTCCAGTACCTTCCCTCCCCACAGGCAGCAATACAAATGGCCTTGAATACCATGTATCCTTGCAAAACATGCCTCATCTGTCACAAGCTATTGCTGCTAATTTACATGAAGCCATTGTATTACGAAGTCTCATTCTCTTTCTTACTTTCATTCGTCAAAGACTATTTATTGGGTACACAGTACACCAGGCATTATTCTAGGTGCTGAGCTTCCCCTCACAAGTTTCCCCTCACAGAACTTATACTCCAGCAGGAGGTGACACACCAGAAACAACAAATATAATTAAAGAGTTAATAGAAGGTCACAAGCTTGGCTCAGTTGGTGGAGCATGCAACTCTTGATCTCGAGGTTATGGGTTCAAACCCCATGCTATAATTTGGCCTGCATCCTTCTATAAAGCCAAATAAAAGTAGTTTAGGGGCACCTGGGTGTCTCAGTGGCTGAGCTTCTGCCTTCAGCTCAGAGGGTGATCCCCGGGTCCTGGGATGGAGTCCTGCATCAGGCTCCCACCAGGGAGCCTGCTTCTCCTCTGCCTATGTCTCTCTGCTTTTCTCTCGGTGGTGTGTGTCTCTCATGAATAAATAAATAAAATCTTTAAAAAATATACAAATAAAAAGTAGTTTAGATCAAAGATTAACCCAATTCCCAAACTATACTCCCCACTGTGATGATTGAATACTGCATTTTATTGTTTCTCGGATGCACATTCCTTCACATTTTTAACAATTCTGAAATCAGGCAGCATTTTACAACCAATAGTATCTTAGCATTGTATCATAATTTAAATGACAGTTTCTTTCTCTATCTCAGAGGTATGCAAAATAATAGTGCAAATACAATCACCAGCACCTTAAATCTGATGATACAGGGTATTATGGAAGGTGGGTGTAGGTGAGGAGTCAGGTTGAAGTATTTTTTTAAGTTGGCTCTACACCCAATGTGGGGTTTGAACTCACAACCCTCAGATTAAGAGTCACATGTTCTACTGACTGAGCCAAGATTGAGGCACCAAGATTGAGGTATTAAATATGTGATATTGGGCAGCCCCAGTGGCGCAGCGGTTTAGCGCCACCTGCAGCCCAGGGCGTAATCCTGGAGACCCTGGATCGAGTCCCACATCAGGCTCTCTGCATGGAGCCTGCTTCTCCCTCTGCCTGTATCTCTGCCTCTCTCTCTCTCTCTCTCTGTGTGTCTCTATGAACAAATAAATAAAATCTTAAAAAAAAATGTGATCTTACTCCACCAAACACTGTATTAACAACCTCTCCATGTTGCTGTTTGCTCATCTAGTTTATTGCTTCTAACAGCTACAGAGTGTTCTCCACCTGTGCTGTCCAATGGTAACCACTAGCTATATGTGGTTCTTTAATTTTTAAATTTAAATTAGCTAAATTTAGGGGCTCCTGGGTGGCTCAGGTCATGATCCCAGGGTCCTGGGATCAAGTCCCACGTCGGGCTCCCAGCTCAGTGGGAAGTCTGCTTCTCCCTCTGCTCTTCCCCTTGCTTGTGCTCTCTCAAATAAATAAATAAACTCTTTTTTAAAAATTAGCTAAATTTAATACATGTTAAGTTTCCATTCCTTAGCTGCTCTTGCCACATTTCCAGGGCTCAGTAACGGTATGTAGCTACCATTTTGGACAGTGTAGATAAATAGGATATTTCCATTATCTCACAAAGTTCTATTGGAGAGGACTACTCTCCAATAGTCTATACCCTTGTTTTTCAAAGTGTGGGTCTAAGGAACAGCAGCATTGGAATTAGCTGGAGCTTAGTAGATGTCAGAGTCTTGGGCCTCACTACAGACCAAAAGAACCAGAATCTGTATTTTAACAGGATCCACAGGGACACAATGCATATTAGAGTTTGAGAAGCACCATCTCCTGGTATATATCCACCATGTTTAATGACCCAGTTCGTTGATGATGGACACATAGTTTCCCTCCACTACCTAAGCAATAATGCAATGACTATTTGGGGACATGCCCCTTCCGTGCCTATAGACTTCTCTGGAATATTCACAGAAGTGGGACCACTGGATCAAAAGGCCTTCTCTTAATCAATTTCACCAAGTACTAGTAGGTTTTTTGTCTAGATAAGGATTCCTATCCCCCACACCCTCAGCAATGCTTGCAGTTCATTCTGCAAATGTAAGTCACATCTGCATGTGACAAAAGTGAATATTCATTGCAATTTATTGAATATTTATCTTTATTCAATATTTTTTGAATATTCATCCAGCAAATATATTCATTAAATTTTATTATACACCAGGTACTGTTATAGAACAAAACAGATCAACACTTCTGCCCCCAGGGCACTCACTTCTGACAGAAATAAATAAATGAATGAGTAAAACATGAAGTATTACAGATCGATGTGCCTTGCATAAAAGTCAAGCAAAGTAAGAGAGAGAGGAGGGATTTGAAATAGGTGGTTGTGCGATAAGGGTTAACTCCTGGGATGCCTGGGTGGCTCAGCGGTCAAGCTGTCTGCCTTTAGTCCCAGGGCAATCCTGATGATCCCACATCAGGCTCCCAGCATGGAGCCTACTTCTCTCTCTGCCTATGTCTCTGCCTCTGTGTGTGTGTGTTCTCTCATGAATAAATAAATAAAATCTTAAAAAAAAAAAGATAAGGGTTAACTCGGCAGGCCTGGGTGGTCCAAAACTCTGCGCAGAAGGAAAGGTTTGGCCCTTGCCTGTTATTTGGCCTGATAACAATGTCTTTGTTTACCTGAGGGCCTTAGTCTGCCAAATAGCCTATCCTTATAAAAATGACATGGTAGAGCCCTTGGGTCATGTTGTATCAATTTGACCTCTGCAGGAGCTAGAGACTCAGGTCAGCCATGCAAGCAGACAGCCATATGCCTTTGGACATCAAAACACAGGGGAACTTCTCTGGTTGAACTACCCTGTGAGTGCTGCTGGGGAAGCAGGTGCTGTCTGCACAACCTCAGGGAGAGAGGACATCCGAAATGTTGTGCCTGGTTTCTCCCAGACTCTGCCCTGTGCACCATTTTCCTCTGCTTATTTTATCATATATATATATATATGTATATATATATATATATATATATATGTATATATATAGTCTATTTGAGTGACATAGATAATGACAGAGATAGTGAGAGAGAGCACGAGCAGTGAGGAGAGGGATGAGTCTCCCAGGACCCTGGGATCATGAACTGAGCCGAAAGCAGACACTTAACCAACTGAGCCACCCAGATACGCCTTATTTTATGCTATATTTTTACTTGTAATAAGCTGAAGCCATGAGTAGAGCAGCTTCTCTGGGTTCTGTGAGTCCTTCTAGTGATTCATTGAACTTGTCCTGGGAATTCCCAGCTACATTGGTCAAGAAAGTCTTCAGGGAGAGGAGGACAAGAATGGAAGAAACCATGTAGATATCCAGCTTGGAAGAGGCTCTGAGAGTGTGCCTGGCATGAGAAAGGCAGGAAAAGGGAAACAGTTGATGATGTCTAGAGGCTTGTAGGCCACCGTCAGGAAATGGGACATTCACTCCAAGTGAGATGGGAGGCACTGCAGAGTTTTGAGAGGAGGACTGATCTGCCCTGATTCACATTCTCGTAAAAGGTCACCTTGGCTGCTTTATCAAACACAGAATATAGGTGGACAGGCTAGAAACAGGGAGACCAGATAGGAAATATGCAACAATCTAGGTGGGAGAAAATGGTGGCTGCGAGGGACCAGGTGTCAAGGATGAAAGGTATTGAGAAATTGTCAGATTTGGGTCAGATACTGGGGCACCTAGGTGGCTCAGTCTGTTAGCCATCTGCCTTTAGCTCAGGTCATGATCCTGGAGTCCTGGGATTAAGGCCCACATGGGGCTCCCTACTCAGTGGATAATGTGTTTCTCCCTCACCCTCTGCCCCTACACCCACTTGTGCTCTCTCTCTCTCAAATAAATAAAATCTTAAAAAAAAAAAGATGTGGGGCCTATTTTGAAGACAGAGCTGACACATGTGGTGTGAGAGAAGGAATCCAAAGGAGAAATGAAAGTTTTCACTGCTGAGGACTAGAAAGATGGAGAGATCACCTGGTAAAGATCAAGGCTGCAAGAGGAGCCTGTTTGGTTTTGGACATGCAGATGTGGAGCAAGCCACTGGATGTTAAGTTGTGAGTTCAGGAGCAAAGTTTGGCTGGAGACTTAAATTTGGGAGTCATCAGCATGTAGATGGTATTTAAGGCTGGATTACTGAGGGAGTGAGTGTAGACAGAGGAGAGGAGAGGACCAAGTACCAAGGCCTGAGGTGCTCCACCATGTAGAGACGGGACAGGAGCAAACAGCAGCAGACATGGGTGAGGAATACGCATTGAGCTATGAGGAAGACCAGGAAGATATAGTGTCCCAAAAGTGGAGGAAAAATCTCTTTGAAGGAACAGGGAGTGATCCACTTGTTAAACGTTGCTGATAACTGAAGTAAGATGGGTTCAGCAACGCAGAAATTATTGGTACTCTGGACAGGGTATGGCCCATGGAGCAGTCAGGGAGAAAGCCTGCATGGAGGGGGCTCAAGAGAGAACAGGAGGTTAGGAGCTGCAGACAATGAGGGTAGCCGACTTTTTAGAGAAAAGTGCCATCATGGGGAGAAAGAAATTGGGCTAAAAAAAAAAAAAAAGCTGAAGGAGAGTCTGAAGGTTGAGAGGTTTCATTTTTTTGTTTTTGTTTTAATCAATTAATTAATTAATTAATTAAAAGATTTTATTTCTTTATTCATGACAGACACACAGAAAGAAAAGCAGAGACACAGGCAGAGGGAGAAGCAGGGAGCCCGATGCGGGACTGGATCCCAGGAATCCGGGATCACACCCCAAGCCAAAGGCAAGTGCTCAACCGCTGAGCCATCTAGCCATCTCTGTTTTAATTCTTTTAATGGAACAATTTAATGGGAGCAACTGTAGCATGTTCAGATGTTAATGGGACTGCTCATTGGGGGAGCAAAAAATTGATGCAGGCAAGGGAGTGCAGAGCTGCTGGCTGGAATGGTGTCCCCAAGGAAGTGAGAGGGGAAGAGATAGCAGGCACAAGTGGAGGGGTCTGTCTTAGATGGAGGCAAAGACTGTTCATCTATAGAAATAGGACAGGAGGCAGAGGATGTGGGCACAGATGCAGGTAGGTGGCAAGACTGATCTTTCTAGTTTTTGCTATTCTGATGGGTGGAAAGTGGTTTTCTGTTGCTGCACAGGAAAGATGGTGACTGGGGTGACATCCTTCCCAACAAGGATACAGCTGTAGAGAAGAACTCATGGATCTCCAATCCGTGTGCATCTTTCTCACCAAGAGCACAAGTCTGGTTTCTCCCCGGGCTTCTCCATCTCTCCATCTCTACGTCTTCATGCCTCTTTCTCCCTTTTCATTCCCTCTGCCCTCTCCCACCCACCCTGTCTTTCTATCACCGTGTATTTATCCCTTTGTATCTTTCTCTGTCTCCCCCTCCCTTTACGTTTGCATGGGGCCTCTCCTCTGAGCCTGGGTGTGGGGCCAACTTTCTCATCCCAGCCAGCACTTCCAACCAGAACTTCCAGTCCTTGCTTGACAAAGAACCCCATTTTGAAGCCAAGCTAGGGTGGAGCCTCCGGAAACCTCAGGCTACCTCCATCTCTAGCTCTACTTATTTAACAAGCACATTTGTGGCCCTTGGTCTGAGTCAGGCTCTCATCTAAGCACCTTCAAATAATAACTCATTTAACCCTTCTCTATAAGACATGGAGATCCTATACTATTGATTGCACAATTTTGCAATTGGAAACACTGAGGTACAGGGGGATCATGTCATTTGAACACATGTCACTTGAATGGTCTAGCTCCAGAGTCTCAGCTCTGAATCACTATGGATACTGCCTCTTTTTCCAGTCCTTTCTCCAGCTTTGCCTTCTGATGGGGGAAAAACCCTGATCTATGAGACAGTACACCTTGTTTAGTCTGGTTGTGTGACTTTCAGCAGCTCACTGCCTTCTGTGGGCTCCAGTTGCTCCCAGTCAGGTGACGGGGGTGGAATGCACCCAACTCCCGGTAGGTCCATGACCTTACTTCAACCTGAGTCAGCCAACCTAAGTCCAGGCCAGTCATAAACCCCAATATCAGCATTGACCTGGTACTCACCCTGAAGCAAATGTCAAAGGCAGCTGCCCCTACTCCGCTTTCCAGGCCTTTCCAAACAAGAGAGGCTTCTCTGGAAGTGTAGACCCAGGCCACA